TTGGATCGTGGACACAAGGCTTAAGAGAGAGGTAAATTAAAAGTTAAAAGTTACCGATAAAATGTAACTAAATTCAGTTAAAAGTTAACAGTCTATAATGTAACTAAGTTAAGTTAAAATTATTTAACTTTTTAACTTAACTTTTATCTTTTTAACTAGACACTACCCAATCCTAAATAAAAATATTCGTGTACCAACTTAGCCGCAACGCAAATACCCTAGTTTTCTGCTATTTCGTTCATTGATAGAAACGCGCGGAGTTGTCGAGCGTTCCAATTGGCTCTCGAGTGGAGACTTTATTGAATGTCAGTCTGATTTTTTCTCATAAGTTTGCACACACGTTTTGTGTGCTGCTTCAGTGCACTTGCTTTTAATGTAGCGTAGATTCAACTCTGAGGCGGATGAGCCTCTCTCTCTCTGCCACGGTTTTATAATAGCAGCGCTTCAAAGCATATCATCTTTTCAATATATAAACGGAAAGAGAGAGGAGAAAAATGTGGAAAGTCGTGGTTCGTGGGATCCGGGAGACGTTGGAGCGACGCGTCTGTCGCACCAACGTTTACTCGCAATCGTCGCAGGACAACGCGAAGAACGAAGTTAAGACGAGCCTGACGTGTCAGCAGAAATTCTTGCCACCGGTGCTTATCACCTGCGACAAGGGTTTCTGCGGCTCGTCCAAGAGCACCGGTGCTAACAACAGCAAACACGACTCCGATTGGAACACCAAGCACAGCTGGTCAGAGGCTGTCGGCTGGGTATGTTTTTTCAAAACAAGACTCGTAATGTTATGCAACACCTCGTTCCGAAACCAGGAACTCTCGCTGTCACTAACACGTGACTTGTATTTCCGACTCTTTGCTAATATGTGACTACATTTTATTAGTCCAGCGTACTGGCGGCTGGATGGGTTGTATGCCAGACACTCTGCCTGCGCAAGAGAGTCGCTGACAGAGACAGCAGTGAGACCTTGAAAAACAAATTACACGATTACTCTTCATCGATACTTACGCAATGTCTAAATCTACACCCGCGAAAAGTCCTGCCGGTTACCAACTGTACCGCCACCAGTAGTAAAAGCTCTGATCTGCAGGATACAGAGTCACAATGGACCGCGGAGAAACCGTTCGGTCCTATCACCATTGAAGAGGTGAGGATGTTATTTTGCAGACATACTCTGTAGTGGTATATATGTAAGAATTAAATTAAGATGGAAGCTTGCAACAGTCTACAGTTCTTCGCTGCATAAAGAGTATTATCAGGGTTGGGTAGTGTCTAGTTAAAAGGATGAAAGTTCAATAATTTTAACTTAACTTAGTTACATTATAGACTGTTAACTTTTAACTGAATTTAGTTACATTTTATCGGTAACTTTCAACTTTTAATTCACCTCTCTCTTAGGCCCGGTTTTTTATTTTCTGGTTGACTGTTAACCAGAGGTTAACTCATGGCTAGTCTGGTTAACAATTAACCTGAGTATTATATATATAACGTGTGGAAAATAATGATTGAAACAGTGGGCTTATTGTCAACCCAACTGGCAAATTTTATGGAATTCGTTACAAAAATAATTATATATAAAATTAATTGTGGTATTTTATGCAAAAATTAGTTATTATATTCTTAATCGTGTCTTATATCGATTTTGTAGTCTCTACATAATAAGTATACCGAATACTGTATTCTTTCTCTTATTTGTTCTGTGTTTCGAAGATATTTTCTCTTCAGCAAAAAATTTTTTTATTTATTTAATTTCGATATGTAATTGCCACGATATTATCTTCGTGATTCATGCAGATAACAGATAACTCGTGTATATATACATGTATCATAATTTAGCGACTTGAGGTCATTTCCTTATTTTTTTTAACGAGTAAGATATATTTTTGGAGTCAAGTTTTGTAATATATTTAGCGAAGAGAGCAAAAATTGTAGAATAAATAAAAATGAACTTAAACATCTATTTCTTCCACGTTTTTCTTTTTAATTTCTTTCTTGGAAAAAAGTTCTGTTAAAGAAATGTTATCTCCTGTGTGCGTGTGTAGAAGAGCCAATAATTGCATATAAAGTAAATTGTAGTATTTTATGCAAAAAATACTTTCATGTTTTTCGTGGAGTTTTATAGTTTCATTTTTTAAGATTTTTTTATATCCATAGGCATTCAAAAATGCTGCCGCTGAATTTACAAATACCCATAACATACTGAAGGGAGAATGCGAACTTCGGTATGGTATCAAAGCTTTAGAGGAAATGCGTTACAGTGACGCTTTAATGCATTTTACCGCGGGCGCTAAATTATCATCTCCCGGAAGCCTATTCAATTTAGGGTTGTGTTACGAATTAGGCGTCGGAACTATGGCAGATCAAGCAAAGGTACACTCCAATGTCTAGACAATGTACCTGAAAAGTAAACTGTCGTATCAATAAAATTATCGATTTTGAGATTTTTATCTCAACGAATGAGATCAAAATTTGTTATAAGTCCTGTATTAAAGTAAAGGATCTCCCTAACAAACATTTTCAAACAAATTTTAGCAAAATATAAAGAAACAACTTATAGAAGTGCAAGTTGATTTCAGCTTTCCTATATGCTAAACGTTAGTTACGACAGTTGACCTTGGGTACAAATATTTAGAGGTGTCTGCGAAAAACAGTTTTGGAATGCACTTTATTTAGTCACGAAAATCTTTTTTCGATCCCTGCATAAAGATAAGAAGATATTTATATGAAAATATGAAATTAAAAACATGAACGATGTAAAAACAGGAAGAGAGATATACCTGCAAAAAATATATCAAAGTATAATTTTCCTTCAGGCTGCAAAATATTACACTGATGCCGCGGCTCACAATCATGCCGATGCTTTATATAATTTGGGAGTCTACCATGCCCAAGGAAAGGGCGGTTTACCAATCGATATCGATACCGCGCGCACGTGTTTCAACAAAGCAGCAAGCTTGGGCCAGGTGCGGGCGCAGTGTGCACTTGATTCAGAAAAAGCTGAAGTGAAATCGAAGAAAACTCTTGCGCCGAACACAAACCAAAAAGAATTAGAGAAGATTGGCGAACATTTTATGCCTTTTAAATTAAGCGATCACACGTTGTATTCAAATGTTGACGACACATTTGGTACAACCGTAAAATCCGATCAAGGATTAATGGGGATTGTCGACTTGATAAAGCCTTTCAAGTTTAATCCACCACCACCTATTATGATAAATGCCGATTATTACGTGCCATATTAAAGGACTTTTATTACCTCAGTTTAAGACCAAATGGAATCAGGTATAGTGATAATAGAAATTGGACTAATTCCTCCTAGTATGTAAATGAAAATGTAAATACATTTTATTGATTCCCCTTAGAGTTACAAGGGGAAGTGTTACAGTGTAATATTTGAAGGAACCTGCCCAAATCTCTTATAACACCTCTCTCTATATTCACTTCGCTAAGTGGCGATCGAACGAAAACCAACAATGTTTTGTTTGGTTTTAAACCCGGATCTTCGGATTACCAGACCAGCGAACAATCCTCTGCGCCACGATCGCCACAATTTCTACTAGTATTATTTTGTACAAATGCTATGTTTTATTTTTCTTTTTTTTATGCGCATATGTTTATGGAAATACGTATTTAGGAATATGTACATATACGATAACGGTGAAAAATTTGCTCAATTTATGATATATTGTTCAGAATTTTGCCTTCAGAATTCTACATTATTTTCATATTTTTCACTTCTTCAAAAGAAGCATTATTACTTCACATTTAGCGCTTAATTTTTTTTTTAATTAACATACGTGATTTTAGGATTGCATTACATTGATATACATATTAATGTCATTTTTCCATGACTTTATATTTATATCTAATGTTACTTAATTCTTATGCTTGAGTTTTAATATGACTGTGTGATGCACGATCAGAAAACTTATAAAAATAAATGCAACACAGGACAACTAAAATTCGACGATTTGAAAGTTGTCCTTTTAAGCTTCCGCGTAAGACACGCGATAGATTATAATCGATACTTTTGTTAAACGTACGTTTCGTCTTGTATTGAAAAATCTCATTTTATAAAAAAATTTACACTAGGTTTAAGATTGCGTGGCATAGTTTGATGTAAACTTACATCGTAACGACAGTAATAATAAGTAGCGACTTGCGCTTGTGCTATGCACAGTGCGGAAAGTGCATGTACAGGTGCATGCAGTACGTACAGTATACAATACAAAAATAATGTTTTTACAATTGTATAGTTTTTTTTTCAATGTTATCCTCCTCCCAGAAGCCGAGAAACTTGACCAATCAGAGTAAAGTTTACTAATCTCAAGTTTAGTGACTTTTACTGTGGTCAAATTTCAATATAATCTCAATCCCAATCCCAATCCGTAGTCTGATACGGTCTAGATGAAAGATCCATTGGTCGCAGTCTACAATTACGTACAAATTTACGATTGTCGGCTTCACCAATGCGCGTTACGTTGCAGCACAGTTTTTTGCACAAAATCGCTATGATTGGCGTATAAATTTATCTCCTTATTCACGTCCATCCACCTTACGCTACGCGCGTCGTCTCCGGCCTTCAACGCGAGCCTCCCCACGACATCGTTTTCCTCGTCGTGAAAATTTATAGCCACCGTCTCCATCCAAGCGTTATCCGTGTTCCGCGGGTCGTCCACGTATCCCTTGTAGATCTCGTCGCCCTTCGCGAAGAACTCCACTATGGAATCTCGGAGGGCCTTCCTCTCGGTCTCGTCCATTTCTAAAAAGTTGAGCGCCTCCTCCATGAATTCCCTCATCAAGGTGGTGGAAACCGTCTCGTCCGGGTCAACCATACCCCCGGGTATGGCCCACTCTCCGGAATCCCGTCTCTGTATCGCGACGAACTGCAACACGGGCCTTCCCGTGCGCCCGTCCACCTGCACAGTCCCCGTGTTATCGCGCTTCCATCGCGTGACGATAGGATCGGCGGCGTGATTCGGTCCCCATCGGCCGAGAAGTCCTCGGCCGACGATGCCGGTTCTTCCCACGGGATTCAAGGGGTAGCCATCCGCGTTCACGTCATAGTCACCCGTGAAACTCCTTCGGTTCACCTTGTCTGTCGAGAATTGCATACATTTCAAATACGGACGCGGTAATACCTCGCTCCGCATGCGCAACTCTAGCCCAGACTTATGTTAACCTAAGAAACGTGATCCCCATCGTTTGTCTTTCTTCCGTCGTTTTTTCAATTCGTGACAGTCAGTCCAAATTTGTCAATTAGATGAATAGAAAGGGGTTAGTTACCATCCACCGCGTTCCATTTTGGCTTGAAGGTGGGCTCGCTGATTTCGGGATCGGCCCAAGGTTTGCCCTTGAGAACAGTAGCGGTATACGCGACCGGTTTGTACTCGGGATAGTCGACTGTCCAGGGTACTCTCTCCTCCGGTACTGCAAATCTCTTTACGTTGCTGGACGGATACAAACCCTGCCGGCACTTTTGGTGAAGCATTCTCGCGTATCTGATATTCATTTAACTATTCCGCTCTGAAGAGAAGATCCCTTCCATAACTCTTGATGTTTGCCTGCCTCCAGTGACGTAATTAACGATCCATAGGCCTTGCGTGTATTTTTGTTTCTGATTGTGAATTCAAGATAAAGAAATTAAAGAAAGCGAGACAGACAATGAACTTATGTGCCATAAATTACACGTATATTATTAATGCGCATTAGGAGTCAAATTGGCTGCAAAGAAAAATCCGAAATATCTCTATATCAATTTAAATCTATATTTTTCACTTAAAGGAGGTGTAGCAGACTATCGAATCTTCAAGTTACAGCATAGTGTTATTTGATTGTCGATAGTATATCCTTTACATAATTTTGTAAATTAAATATGAGCGGCGTTATTAAAATAAAAACGATATCGGTTTTGCTACAATACTAGGCTCTTATTAAGTAAAATAAGTCGGCTTAAGACGCATATGGACCTTTTATATTTTGTAAAATAGTAAAAGCAATCTTATTCTGTTTAATCCTTGGCATATGTATGGCATGATATCAGAATATGAATCTCACGCATTAAAGTAACAATACAATTACATGTTATATTTACAAATATTGGCTCTTTCTTCCCCCGTTTTTGAACAAGCATACAAATTTTTGTAAAGTTTTCCTTTATTACAATTCGTTTAATTCGTGTAACTTTTCACAAATCCTCTTGTATTTATACGCTGGAAGACTAGATTAGAAGTATCTATAAAATTTAACAAACCCTAATAACACTTATGTACTTAGATCGGTAAAAGTAAATTTATAATTAGCTTGAATGGTAAAATGAATAATACTTCCGTGTGACGTACTATTAATGCCCATTCTTTCAAATAGCTCGAATAGTTCAGTGCTTGAAGTGATATTAAGAGACTGTCGAAAGTAAAATTTATGTGACTGATGTACAGAATAATATAAAATATATTCTTGTGCAGTATATATTTTATATTATTTCAATGTATACATATTAAAACACATGAAACAATGTTACTACATACAATATATATATATTAATATATAGTGTATATATTGCGTATATATAAACGTGTGAATAATGCGTATATATAAAATATTTTCACTTAACTAAACTTTTCGAAACTTTCATTAACATTTTTTAGTAGAGTTTGTATTAATTTATTTTATCAAAAATATACGTTCACCATATAACTATAATATTTTCGCAATATTTTTATGCAGTTTTATGCAGCTTTTAGTCAAAGTATAAAAATTTAATTATTTAATAATATTTGAAACAAATATTGTACGTTGACAATTTTAAATTATACACACTTCAAATACTGAAACAACAAATAATTTTTCGCGTATCCTGCATTTACCAGATTCTTTGCATTTCTGCAAAAGAGAAACGCAGATGAATCGAAAGACTTCATTCTGTAAAATAAATCTTATCGTGAATCGTTTCCTAAATTAAAATGAACATAATGGTTTATGATGATACCCGTGACTTTTTTGCGACGTTCTTTCACTACTACGGATAAGAATATGGCATTCTTGAAAAAAAATTTAAGTCCGAGTTTAGAAAAGAGAAACTGGTCGAAAGTACTAGCAAAACTACAAAAAGTAGTTTAAATTAATCATTGCATTAATAAAATTGTGCAAAGTTTAATAATTACGTTTAAACTTTTAAATTCATAATATTCAATTAAAGTATCTCTTATTGTTGTTATATAAATAGCTTACACATCTTTAATCTACGTTTAGCTGCCTTAATTTTTTTAGCAGCAAGCTCCAATCTTCGCGTTGGTTCCTACTTTCTGAAGTTATTGTGCTCGTCTTTCGTAAAGGTACATGGAAATGCTTCCTAATAAGGAATATTACCTAATATGGAGAAATTTCCTTATTGTAACTTCCTAATTATAATTATTACACATTTCCAGCACACATTAAAAAAATAATTGTGGTACTTTCTAATTCATATCTCATATACTTACATTCATTATTCATTTGTGTTTTTAGTCAAGAATTGTTCTGATTTTAGATATATAATTCCTTATGAAACAATCTTTCTTGCTATAATTATCGAAGACCAGAAATCACTATCTCATGTTACGTTTTCAAAATTCGACTCTCGTTCGCGGAAATTGGTTTTATACACAAGTATAACTCAAACGCCGTGGTCGAACTCGTGGTATCCTTCTGCTCCGGTAAACACAACGTCCACCCAAACGCGCATAGCTTCCGGGCTGGGTGCCATGAGATGGTAAAGTCTAGCCGTAGTCTTGACGATAAAGGTGAGAGATGGTTGTGGCGATCGGACGGTGTTCATATGATCCACGTAGACTTCTTCGATCGACTGCGATGCGTCAATACCGAATTAGTTGCGATATTAGTGTTGAAATTCCTAATAGAAAGACGCTTCCGAAATAAACGAGATAATGCTCCCGAGAAGCTTACCTGGAAATAAATTACGCCGCGAGCCTTCCTGGACGTGTTATCGCTGTAGTAGGATAACGTCTTCCGTCTGCGATCAAAGACGAACCATCGCTTGTTCCAGTGATGAAATTTTTTGCTCATCTTCGATAAATAACCACTGCAACTTGTTGTGTCGACGGTAACATCGTAAATCAGTGGTAACTGGTGCCCGGCAGTCTCTATGTGATGTCTTAGATCCAAGGACTCTGATTTGATCGGAAGGTACCTCGTGAGTGGCCTCTGCAAAATTCGTTGGATGTTAACTCGTCGACGTCAAAGCAGCAAGTTGAATAAATTGAAGTTTTCTCTGTTCAAGTAGAACAAAATCGCGAGAAAGCTATTCTACGTTGAAGTTAATTCTGCGAGTAAAAGCTTCTTTCCTGAAGCGATTATTTATCCTTTTTAGCAGTTCTTGCCTGTCGCTCGTGTCGTCTTTCTACACGGGTAACTAATCAATAAATTTCAGGGGGTTACCTGAAGTTTTGCCTTTTCGCGATGTTTGACAGGTTGCAACGATCCGAGTGTATCCATCTCGCTGGATGTCTGAGAAAGGGGGCGACTTCCATTTCCGTCGATAATTCCGCCTCCACCGCCGCCACCGCCGCCACTGTTATCGCTAAGCCTCTCGCCTTCCATCGATGTTCTCCTATCGTCTCTCATCTGAAAATAGTTCCGAAATTCTTATTATTCCGTCCCTTTTAACAGCGTCCCAAAAATGTTTGCTGCTCTGGGGAAAAAAAACAGTTAGCAACCCATTTTAGGGCCCACAATTAGCAATCGAATTATTTGAATTGTTCGTAACACTCTAATCTTTTATGAATTTTACCCCGCGTAACTAAAAATCGCAATTGGCTATATTCTATCTATATCCAAGATTTTACAACAATACTAATCAATTCTTTCGATTAGTTCTGTCGATATTCAATAACGCAAAGATAATTTTCACTTAAGAGGCACTAATCGAAATGTTAAGTTGCTTAACTGCAAAAAAACGGTCAAAATTTTTCGCAGAGTAGAATTACGAACAATCCAAGTAATTCGATTACTAATTGTGGGCCCCAAAATGGGTTGCTGTCTTTTTTTCCCCCCTCAGAGTGCAATTTGCACAAAAATTATTCCCGCATAAGTTTTTTTCGCCTACGTGTCTGCAAACTTCACGCTTTCGTCTGATGTGTCGTTTCTTCGTTTTGCCTTTAATGTAGTTTATCCACATAAGCGACATCGTATTGTGCACAGTTGAGTTTATGCAATTTGACGAAACCGATGGCAACTACGTCGAGATATTCCGTTTACACAGATCCGAACAGATGACGGGGAAAGACTGACGCTAGTGACTCGATGGTCCGGCGATATAATTCCCGCTGTAAAATGTAACTCCGGACTCCCACTCGCTCGCCAGATGCCGTGTGAGCACCAAAATTCGCCCGCGCAATAAATTTCGATTATTCATTCATGGAACACATGCCACGTGGCAGGTATCGAATGACACAGATTGCCAAAATACACGATAAGAAACGATTTGTTTTCTGTAACATCCTATAACACTCGCTACAATTGCAACTGGTTCACATCCGATATTACCAAAAATAAACCACGTTTCGACAAATGGTGGAAACTAGCGAAGGCCGGCCGAATTAATGAAATCTTTATTACCGAAAAGCTTATCGTTGCGTTATAGATCCCAACATTATTATATAACGTTCGCGTTTGTTGAAATTATTTGCTATTAGTAGATGTTGAGTGGCTCAGGCAAGAGATGAGAAATTCCGTCGGCTCTCGGCAAACGCGGTGACTCATCACAAATACTCATTTACTGCGGACATTTCTCTTCACCTAAACTCAATAAGTAAAGTGATAGGAATGCAAGAAGTAATAAGTGAATATTTTTTCTGCGAGGAGAATAAAACCCGAGACTATACTACGAGGAATAAGGAATATATTTATTCGCGCGTTAAAAATTTCATTCGTAAAGGTTCCTGCTGTCCTTGGCATAGGAAAAAAATTAAACGTCCATTTAGTTAAGTGTCTGAAAAAAGAGGAAGCTTATCGTACGTCCGTAAATAAATATATCTGTCAAGAAAGAGGTCAGTTGCGCAAAAGAGGCTTATGAATTTCGATGTCATCTGTCGTTATAAATTATCGCCGCAGGCTTAATCGAGACTTCACAAAAGCACATTTATCGCAGGACAAGCTGCTCGCTGAATGCCGTCCAACCCGCGGCATACTCGCGTATCGGGGCTGAGATACCACATGGGGAAAAACACGTGTGCAATGACGAAAACACTTGCTCCAGAATGTAAATGGCTATACTTGCGAAATGTCAGTGTCGAAAAGCGTGCGTCTCCTGCGCACGGGCGCGATGGCGGGCCAAAATCTACGCGGGGCTTCCGGCGGTAACAAATGCGTTGTTTTTCGACGTATGCGAAAGTATACTCTAAAATGATCTCTCTCAACTGTCAAAACATTTATATGAAAACACGGGAGAAAATCGCGTAGCCCGTTATGCATATACCGTACCGTTCGTACGTGACGAATTTATTATAAGAAATTTGTTCCTGTGCGTTGGCCTCCCCCGATGATTCAAGTTATTTCTCGAAATATTTCAAATATTAACTACTTCCTCTCGTGCCTTCCTGTTGATTCACACTTCTCGTGAACCACCCTATTCAACTATTTGCCCACAAAATTGTTCGGAGACGTAACACGGCTATTTTTTGCAGCTGGCACGGGAGTAAAGTTTTTTTGGAATTACGCCGAGATAAATAGAATAGAAGAAACATTTTTATTATATATATATATATATATCTACTATATAATTCAACGTCGCCGATCGGAATGAGAGAATGCGGAAATACAAGGAAAAAAAAGAAAGAGATGAGAAAAGAACACGTAAAGATAAAGAGAGAAAACAGATACTGTTTATGATTATTTGTAATATATCGTTCCCGTTATATAATCAACAAACATACCCAGTAGTTGAAGACTCCACGTTAGAGATGCGAGTTTCATATTGAAAAAAAGAGATCGATAACGAAGTTCTTTGCACAATAGATAAATCCACGTCTCGAAGCAAGAGAACTCCCGCTTGCGTGAACACTGAAAACTTTTCGGAGAGCAGACCTGTCGAGGCACATTTCTTTGAACAGGTGTGCGATAAAATCCACGTGCGAGCAGAAATAGACTGGAAGTTAGACTCGCGCTTACTCGACGTAACGTCTCGCAGTATACGTACGTACTTATGTACGTATGTGTCTGTGTTTGGTAGCGTTTGATTGAGCGATGAAATATTTTGGGGAATTTACGTGTATTAAAATACAGCTTCGTGGAAGGGAACTGCATACGTTCGACATTCCGTGGACATTCGCACAGTATTTCCAATTGACATATAAACTTGAAATTTGATGCAACGTAAGGAAATATGCTTTTTACGCTATACTCACGTTGTCATTTTGAAGTAGACTGTAAGAATTATTCGACGGTCCTGGACTGGATGAAGTGAGTTCCGAAAGTTTGCTCGGGGATAATTTTTCGCTGGTTCCACCTTCCGCGCCGTCGGTACTTCCGCTACCACTAGAAAGGTAAATTGATATTAATTAATTTCAATTACGGCCGCAAGATTTCATAATTTGTCGAGCGCAGTGAAACTTTTAATTAAACGCGTCTATATCTCGTCATTATCATCCTCGGTAATACTGCGAGTAATTTCTTATCAAAATTTTTAAGTAATAGCAAATTAATTTGATAAACTAATATTAAAAATGAACCCTAGACACGAGCGTAAAAATATAGAAAGTTATGGCCGAGCCAATTGATAGTTCGTGTTGTCATCGCACAATAATCACAATTCCTTCGCGATGCTGTCGAACCGTTCGCACTTTATTTATACTTGATATGAAACTTGTCGCCGACACATTTAGTGGGCGCTATTATTAACTGGAGCGTGAACGCCGAATGTCGCGAATTTTATTCGGCGTCCTCGTGATCGAAACGGTAGCGGTACACCCCGGGAACCTCGGTCCTAGCTCCTGAGCATCGCGAGACTGAGGAGAGGACGAGGCCTATAGCCGACTATAGCGCGAAAGGCAGGTATTATTAAAACCTAACAAGTACAAAGTGACTCGGTAGACCGGTTCGACGATACCACCGGCATAGCATTTAATTCTTCTACAATGTTAAATGCAGCGCGAACGATACCCAACCATTCCGATCTCGTTGCCATGCCAGCCTCGGCCTTGGTTGGCTAGAAACATTCCCTTGTTCCCGATAACTGACCTCTGATTCTAACGCACAACCCGTTTCTATAATTTTATTTCTATCTTCTTTTGTTCAATAATGGCTCTTGAATAATGAACAAAGCTTCACGCAATGTGTGCTACAACACGCTGCATCAGTGCTCTCCTACAAGTGTCTGACGCACGTAAACTGTCATAATCTAAACCATTTAACTCGCCTTAAGACAATTCTACTTAAAGATATATCCTGTGGTCTTGTTGCATCAAGTGAAGAGTTGTTGTCATCGTGTGTACAAAGTTTGGTCGTGCAAGAATTTATTTTAAGAACGAGATATATCTGCAAAGTAGAAGAAACACTTTGCCGAACATTTGTAATTTGTAATCAGGACTTTTTCCAGAAAAAAATATAATCAGTAGTTGATTAGTGAATTATTCAATACTGACGATTAAAAAATTAATATTGGTAACGTAGAAATATAACTGGGGAAGCTTGTCGAGATCCTAACACTTTAATATTTGAGTTTTCATGATACTATATGCAAATTATGTACCTATGGCGCACATTACACGCATATACACACAAATTGACCATATCGGCTTCGAACGCAACCGTGTCTATGTGTCTCGTCCACTTGCGTCGCGCACGTGAATATGTTATGACGTATTAAGGGTCAAGAGTTGAGTGCTGATTTACTTTTTGCACCGTATCGTCTTGTTAGATTTATTTCACCTCAATTCTACGTAACATAACACGTAACACAGTTGTACATTAACAATATCGACGCGACAATCAATCACAATAATCATGCATTTTTATTTTATTTTATAACTGTTATTTCTATCAAACGACTTAGGCCCGGTTTCACCAACGTTGTTTAACTTTAAGCTTAATTCGTCCTTTGTCTCTTTCTAAAGTAACAGTTGAAAAGAGACAAAGAATGAATTAAGCAAAGCTTTTACTTGCTCCTTTACATCCTACAATATATAGACACTTTGAAGGAAATTAATTCAAGTAAAGCCCTTCAGAATTAAGTTACCGTTTGAAGAAGATTTTGAATCATCTCGTAAAATTGTCAACCGTTTCTGACAGAAAAGATGGAACTCTTTCACAACTTAGACTCACAAATAGCGTCGACGAATATCACGCGCGTGAGTTTCCAGAGGACGGTAACAATTGTCGCAGATCCAATCTTTGGTGCAGAGGTAACAACGATTACTAGTGAGGAAAGTGATCAGGTTGCATCCCGTAACTCTGGCCTCGTTCAGCACCGTCTCACCCATTTCCCTGGGGTTCATTTTGCAGCATCGCACGACGATCGCTACCGAACGATACTGCACATTCTCTTCGTACCTTTTCTTGCTCGCGAGTCGTTAATCGTTCTTTACATATATCTATCACAATGTTACTTTATATATTTATCACAACGTTCCCGCATCTTCCACTGATTTTCCGTACACGACACGTTGAACGCGAGTAGAACCACGAGAAGACATACAGCTACACGCAGATATCGTATCGCGCGATAACGCCCCGCCTACTTTGCACCACGAGAGTGTGAAGACTCGGGCCGAGTGCCGATCAAACGAACACGATATGCGGCCCTCGCACGCAATTAGTAATTGCTCTTAACAGTATCTTGGATATTGATAGTAATACTAATAGCGTGAGGATGAGGCCAATATAATTCTCTGATTCTCCGAGAGATTTCGCAAAACACATTTTACTCTCGACTCCGATTTATTTATATCTTTTATATTACGATAAAAAAGATTGTTTTCCCCGAAGAAATGTGGACGGCATGTGAGAGCTCTTCATGGAATATCACGAGTGCTTATTCATCACTGCTCAGTTGGAAAGCTTTGATTTTTATATATCAGACGTGTAGGATACACACTCAGACGATTATAAGCTGGCACACACAACGTTCGAGGTGTGTCGATGAGGAAGGTTTCGTAATAAGCTTCAATGAACGACAGAAAGGTCGTCGCGATTAACTGCGATACTGCGCGATGATGCACGCGTCTTCTGTCACATATACTTCGTGGTACAAGTATATCAATGCATTCAAATGTTTGTACGCATTGATTTTGACACAATAAACGCCCGTAGCGGAGATACAGTTCATCGTTCGCGCATATTTAGGAGACATTTAAATTATCGGGAGAGGGAATGTAAATAAAAATTTGTCGCTGCAATTCCTCGTCTACTTATAAAGTGAAAAAAGATTGAAGAACTATGATAATAATACTTTTAAATCTTGAACTGATTACGAAGGTTTCGACGTTTATTAAGTTTTCGTTTTTGAAACTTGAAATCGTGCGAAACACGCGAAATAGAAAAGTGAATCATTTTCATTAAGCTCACCTTTCTGTTGGTCCGGTGGAATAACTGGAAGATTCTTCGCCAGATTCGACGCTGTTGAAAGACGCACAGTTCATTTTTCTCTCTTCCCATTGCGAACGGACTTCATCCTGCACTCGTCTTTTCAATTCTTCGACTCTACGTCTCTCCTCCGAGATTACTTGACTCCCTGGAAATGGCGATACGTTAATTTTTGCCCGTTGTCTTTAGATTACATTGTATTGTGAAATTTAGCGATCGAAATAATTCGCACCTTGTTTAGCTAAATGAAGCTGCCGATTTCTCTCAATTTCCCTCAGCGATTCGATTGTCTTCCTTCCTAGGCTGCCTTGATTGTTCACAATAGGAGAATCGTTGGTCACTCTGGAGATTCTGTCGAAGTCTTCTCTACTCGGGGATCGTTTTTCCTCGGAATATTCAACGGAGTTCTGGGCCAGATAGCCGAGTTCTTCGTTTATCTCTCGCACTCGATTTCGTGCCTATCACAATCGTAATCGTTTGACGAGTTAATTAACGAACGATTAATTAATCTACTAAGGTGTAATTCGAAATGTTTAATTGTAACTTGATAATTTTGTTATATTGCAGGAAGATATGAAAGAGTTGCATTTGTAATCTGATTTATCGGTCATGCTTGAACTTTTATGTTATTTTACTGACTTCTTCCAATCGCTTCAAGTGTCCCAATTTCTGCCTCTCGAGACCCCTGGCTTCTTTAGTCGCCACGTTCTTTGCCTCAGATCGCTGCGATTCTAGATGAGTCAATTGCAATTTTCTGCCTTCGATCTTGCTCGTGAGATCGCTCAAATATCTGCAAAAAAAATTTGTATATGACGTAGAGCTTAAGAAACGGAAATGTGCTACGACGATTACACATACCTTTGCAGCTCTTCTCTCGTGGCCAATTTACTCGCTTCTTCTTCGAGATGATGAAACTCCAAGTCCTCGAAAGCTTTCCTTTCACTCTCCAAGATATCTTGATGCGCCGGTAGCTTGTCGGTAATACTCTGGTGCATAATTTCATTCGTGCAACTGGCCAATTGTTCGTCCAATCGAGCGCAAGCTTGCTGTGCCTTTTGAACACGTTGCTTCGCTTCAGCTTGCAATTTGGAGTGAGTCGCATTATCCTCCGCCATTTCTCTCTCCAGCTCATTTATTCGCATTTGCACCTTTATCTTCTCTCCCTCGTCTTGCGTGAGCTTCAAGGATTCCGATTCATACTCCGCGGATAAAAGTGCTTTCTCCATTTCGAGCTGTGAAACAATAAACAAGCAACATATTGATTTTTAATACCTTCGAGTTTGTACTAGTTTCTAAATTCAGCTTTACTGAAAAATAAGACATTGATAAGATAATTGCTTGCGAGATACATAGTTCGATTGTTTCGTAGCTTCCGTGAGAAAAGAATTACGACACAGCGATGATATAACCATGGATGAGCTTCTTTGTGCGAAACTAAATCGAAATTAATCTTTTCCTGTGATAGAGTTTGTTCTTGAACCATTTTATTTTTAAAATCCGTTCAATTGTGTGTGTGTGTGCGCGCGTGTGTGTGCTTCGGTATGTGCACTCGACTAACAATAAGACTCTATAGAATAATTATTGTTATTTAAGCTCGATAGTTTCTATAAACATTGACCTGTTTTGTTTCCTGTTATTTCTCTTATTTTATTTACTGGTCCGCAAATCACATTCGATAAATTTTCAAAATCAATTTCCTCGAAATCAAAGCTCTGAAAGATCCTTGTACAGTTTCAATTTATTCTTGCGTGAGAAATTAGTCTGTCCATCGTTATATCATAGGTACTGTTGCACTCTGTACGAGAATATCGTGCGCTGAATATTAAATAACAACTAACGAGATACCACAGTCGATATTATGAAACGAATTTACAGGAAGTAATTACAGAGTGTACCTGCATATTAACTCGAGAAAGAACGTTTAAGTGTAGATGATTGTCTAGCGTTTGTGTGTGTCACTAATAATTTTATCAAGAATTGTACAGATATATCTTATCTAATAGAACGAATACTTACAATCGGTTGTCTTAGTATTCCACATGCCCAGAAAGAGATAAAGAGAACAAATAAATAACGTATTTAATATACGATACGCGTAATGTGAGGTAAGAAAACTACAGTGAGGAAACTATGAAATCTGTTCACTCTTGCTTAACAGTAGCGTGAAAAAAGTTACCTCTCTACTAATCTCTTCCTCTTGAATTTCAATTTCGGCGACGCTCCTCTTCAGGGCATCCATGTTGCTAAGGACGTGTAACTTTTCATTCTGCAAAAATTCTATGTACTTCTTCCTGTCCTCTTCCTCCAGCTGTTTCCTCTCCTTGTCGGCTTTCGCCTCGTTGGACTTGGCGTTATTCTTCTCCGAATTATTTCGCTTAGGAGTCACGCATATTTCTTTGGATTTCGAAAGCATGGACAGTTGCTCGATCGCCTCGAGAAGGTCGTCGTTCGATATGGCCAGTTTGTTTTCTATCATCTCGCAAGACGTTGACAATTGACTGTTTTTCTTTGGCATGGAATGATTCTGGTTGTTGTTCCGCGTCGGGGATAACACGACGTTTTCGTAAATACTCGCGTTCCCACCTTGCGTCGCCTGCTGTGGTTCGATTTTCGTTCCGTTCAGTCTAATCGTCCCGTACGTGGACGGCGAGCCTCTGGTATCGTCATCAGCCTGTATGCCGTTTCCTGTTCCACCGGTGTAACTGCCGTTCTTTTTATTATTATTGCCGATGATAACGTTTTCATAATTGCCGCCATGAGAAATCGAGCCTGAGAAGTAGCTGCCATTCGTATTATGTACATTAGAGTACTTCGCCGATGGATTGTTACTCGGTGCAGTTGCGTACGGCGACCCCGCGGAAACGTCACACAAGTGCTTTTCAACTTGAGCGGACTGGTCCTTGTGACGAGCGGACGAGTTGCCATTTTGTAAAGTGACTTTAGAAGTTTGCACGGATACGTTCTCGTATGACGCAGCACCCCAATTGGCTTGCTTGCCGACATCGAAGGAGAAATGCGGTTGATTTTTCGACGGGCTTTTCGGACTGTCGAAAGAAGAAGTGTAGCCGAGTCTCTTGTCACGCGGAAGAGATCCGTTTGTTATGATCCTGCAAATTATATCGTTGCGTAAATATATTGTGCGTATTTTCTCTACGAATAAATTACTCCAAAGAAATATAATATCTCGACATTTAATGTCGTGAGACAAATTTCTACAAGTCTCTTTCATCTTCTATTTCAACAAACGACGAAGAAAATTAGAAAAAATTTAAATAAAAGGTGAAAGAAATAAAATCGAGATAAAGTACGATAGTTACCGATTAGGCTGCCTCGGCTTTTCGACGGTGCTTTGTCTTTCGTATTCGGCACACATTGCCAAGATCTCCTCGAGCCTCATTTTCTCTTGCCTCTCGACCTCTTGCTCCCGCAACCTCTCTTCCTGCGCTTGTTTCCGCTTGGTCTCCGCCTCCCTGCGTTTATTCTCCGCGTCGGCTTGCCTTTCTCGCAATTCTTCGAGGGAGCAATTGCTGCCGACACTTGGGGTAGGACTCTTGACCCTCGCGTAAATTTTCTTCTGCTCGCTATATCTTGGATTCCGATTAAATGCCGGACTCGGTGGCAGAATTCGCTTAACATTTGGATTCGAGCCGAACCCGTGAGCGGTGGACGGCCTCAACATCCCGACGTTAGCATCTCCATTGGCACTGTCGTTACAGACATTCGGGTTCGATCCGTATTTCTCCAACTGCAGAAACTCCGTGGTGGTCGTTTTCGTGACGATAAGGCTTTGGCTCATATCGAAGTCCCTGTCGACGAGGTGGTCGAGTTCGTTCGAGCTCTGACAAGTCATACTTCGAGACATCAAGTCGTCGCTTCGAGCGGTGACGAACTTTGGAGACGTCATTCCAAAAGACGGCGATCGTACGTTTTTGTAGTTGTTCTCCTGATACGGTTTGCTCGCTTTTAGGTACGTTTCCGCCGAGTACATCCTGACCTGGTTGTGATTTTGGCACTGCAAATTGACGTTCGGTCGAGTCGGCGTACCGAGACGCGGGTCCGATCGCTGACGAGTCTCGTCGTGACAACCGATCGAGCCCTGCGATGTCGAGTCGACGTTACCGTTCACGGTGAAGCCGTTCACCGGTGACTTCGTCAAGGATACCAGACTCGACGATCTCGAGTGACCGAGAATTTGGTCGGCTGGTACATTCGTCGTGAGAGCACCAGCGGGAAAAACCTTCGGTGAAACGCAATTGGTTCTGTTTTGCTTCGACAGCATCTCGAACTTGGTCAGCTTGCCCAGGAAACCCATCTCGTCGTCGGAGCAAGAGTTCCTGGGTGATTTCCGCGGTGCAACCGGCGGCTTTCGCTCCAAGTGATGATTCTCCTGCGCCTGGCCATCGGGAAGAGCAAAACTTATCGGCGCCATTGAGATTCTCGTGTGGGGAAAGACAGATCGTAGGTGTTTGGCCTCGGCCGGATGATTAAAGCGCATGTAGTTCGATCGACCTATCGATAGCATGCAACCTGAAACATTTAACGCCTTTTTGTCTTTATCAATAATCACAACAAAATTTAAGTAACTTCGATGTATATAAAGAACACAAATTTTATTTAGCTTAACCAAATAAATTTCAATACGGCAAATAGAAAAAAATGTTACTTTTACTTTTTACGCAACAATGTTGCACCAATATCGAGAAGTTTGTAATCGAAATATTATTTTTGCCAGTGCGAAGGACCTTCTCCTTGTTACTCCACTGTCTTTTTAGGACATCGGTCACGGTCATTCATATTTAGGCCAAGGTCTCTTACCTTGCGCGAGTCTCACTGGCGAATTTGTCGACACACCATCGACAAATGTATTGCCATTTATGGGGTACAAAGTGACCACACCGTTATTGTTCTCGATAGCACAATGCACGGGTTCGACGCCGGTACCGGCCACCAAAATGTCCGCATCTCGGTTTGATCCAAGCGTGATCTTACCTGTGTGGGAAACGAAAAAGGAAAAGAATGAATTTGTCTCTCGAATAAGGTCAAGGGGCAAAAAGTGTTGAATTTTTCCTCGCTTTAAATCCGAAATTAACGACAGCTAAAGTCATTCGCTTCTGAGAAGCAGCCTCGTATTTTTCGAGCGTGCAGGAGATGCGCGAGATAAAAAAAGCGACGCGGGGAAAATCAGGAAGCGTGACTAAATATCGCTTGCGCGTATCTTACGGTTGAATGGAAACCAGGCGAGTGCGCGTGTGCATTCCGATCGAAATTCTCGCGGGCTTAGTAACGCACTTCCCCATGTAATATGAGTTAGCATTTAGTACGGCATCGATATAATCGGATTCTTGAGCTCATCCGCGGAACCGTTTCACGGAAGCTCCGATTACGAAGGGCGCATGGGACTCGAGTTTACAATATTAATTTGAGCCTTCTGGGAATGTCAACGACCTGGCGGTCGCGGCGAGGATGTGGCCGGATGTATTTCTCCGCCAGATATACAGAACTCGGTGATATACACGATGTACAAGTACGGAGCCGAGTATTGTCGAGCTAAGATGCACTTCGTTTCAAGTACAGAGGTTTCGTTTGCACTGTTCAGAATTTTGCCAAAACTACGTGATATTTTTGACGATCTAGAGGAAAATACTGCAATCGTAGATGCGTACGGAGAGCGGACAGGATTTTCCACAGCCGTAGAAAATCGCGTAGCGACAGGTCGACGAACAACTCGCACTGATTTCCGTAAAATAATTCTAGGCGCGCTCTGTTCTGCGCGACGCGGGTAAATCGTGGTGCATTCTACGAAGGACTGCAGTTATATTTAGTTTTAGCGCGGTCGTGCACTTTCGTTGCATTTTCGGTCTTTTTGGAAATGTGCTGGCCACGATGCGCGTTGTGGGGAATATATAAGTGTCCGGCAGTACCTAGACGCATAATTTCAGCGACGGTTCAACTAATTTTTTCTCTCCCTGATCCAACGTAGCCGGGGTCAGAGTATGTGGTATATCGATTCGTGCGTTGCTCAAATGGGAAATATTCATTTACAGAATATTTGTTTGTAAATCGCAGCCATCAGTTGCTACGTCGAGAAAGAATATAATTTTTTACCAAGAACATGAAAATCTATTTAAATCACGCACGAAGATAAGATTTCAAAGCTCGAGTTCTGCTGCGGAAATACATTGTCTTGTTCGGAGAAAGTTTCTCGTGATTTCAAAACGAAACACGGTCATAAATTCCAAGGAGATGCGGTGTTCCGACGTACGCAAACGAGCTTGTGGCTATAGACAGACAGGTGCACGGAGAAAAAGTGAAGTCTGTGACGTTAGCGTTCCATTTTCAGAATTTCGATATAATTGATAGAGTTCTTGGGCCCCCGTCCAAAGAGTTCCATAAAGCTTTCATATTTCGGTAAGTAATCATTCTCGCGATTAAACTCGAAACGATAAAAGCGGAATAATCTTTCCGTTGACCTTTTTAACTCTCGGGGCGGTAATTACCGGCCAAGTTACCGTGAGAGAGCAATTTTGGTTTATCACGTTCAGTTTATTATTCTATTCTTTCGCAAACTGGTTCTATTGGATTTATTGGACTTACAGATTAACAAGACAAGTTTATTTGTCGACGGAGTTGCGTTACTCGGTCGTCATAGCGAACGGAAGATAACTTCCTGTCAATCAATTCTATCCTACGCGTTCTATCTTCAATACAAGTGTTACACAGGTACACACACACACACGTTCGCCCCAGGTAGCTTTATTCTCGTTAAATCCATACTGTGCACGCGCCTGCATTGTTTTCCGTTTCTCTGTTCTCTTCTCTCGATCGTTTATTCGTTTAATTCCTTTCCATTTTGTAGAACTCAATCTTGAAGACTTTCTCGAGCAACCTCAAAATCATTTGGAGCAATGCGAATTTTCATCCCAAACCCCCATTATTTTACGCTCGGTTGCGTGACGCATCGACTATATTTGAGGCACTCTGAAATACACGAACGGTAAGCGGTACACAAACTGCCAAATTCTTGTATATCGCGGCCGTACTCTAGAATTCTATTTTTCTTTCAAGTTTCCGGGATCGCGGTAACTTAACTCCGTTATAATGTTGCCTGTGTTTGCTTAATCTTTTCGCCGTTTTACGAGCGGCGATACTGCTTCGGCTCGCCATCGTCACTTGTTTCACGAAACAGAAAGGTAGGGCTTGTGGATTTCTTAAAACGATCCTGCTCATTGAGAGAACACACCTTCATGTATATTCATGCATCATGCAAGTACTTTTCTGCGCACACACACATACGTATACGCGGCACAAATGTGTAGAGTCAAACTCGAAGGGTTGTGCGTACAGCGAATGTCATGGTCTCGATATTTCTTATTGCAAATATTTAACAACGCGGTTGGATGTAATGTCTGCTGTCTCTCCGTTGGCAAACATATGTTCAATAATCGCGCAATGAAATAAAGAATTTTTATCGTCGATCCTCCTTGGTACACTTTTCTCACAATAACGCGAGGATGGAAAGATATACCGTTCGATTTTTCTCTTTCCCAAGCTGTCCCACTTACTGCTCCAAATGGTAGTAACTTCTATCAGTAAATCCGATGGCGCCGTAAAGCGCTTTATCAGTTTGGACAACGTTATTCGTGCCTTGAAATTAAAAACCGGATGAATCACTGATTACGTGGCGATGAGTTTATCTGTTGCTACCAGCCCGGTTTAGTTTCGTTGGTGGAGGATGGAAAAGTGACCCGCGAATAGAAAAACAATGTAAATTGACTGTAATCTTTTTCTCAGTGGTCTCCTTCTTTTTAAGATACGCGCTTTCGAAGTTTAATACGATTAAATGTAAGTGCCATGAGTCGATTAATAATATGAAATTCACGCGAGAGGACCGCTCGTTCAAGAAAGAAAGGACGAAATAAAAGCATAGATTACATTTGTATCTAACCTTCGGGTAGAGGATGCAAAGTCACGGCCGTCGACAGTCGACCGCTTCCCATGGAGACGAGATGCGGTGTTTCCGTTTGCACGCGTAACGCCCGGCCCGCTTCGTGCACCTCGAGACCGGCGGCCGCGATGCTCGCCATGCCTGCAAAACAAAAGCATTCGTAATAAATGCACGATAAATTAGCAGGTGAAGCGGAGAGACTGGCGATGGGAAACGATCCAATTCCATCGGTTCTCGAGCAAGCGATCCCCATATCGTTTCTCATTATAGCCACGCAATCAACTTGACTTTAGCGGCGAGGTAAAAACGCCATATTACCCAAGGAGAGATGAAATGTCAAGATGATGTCAATTTGATGTCGAAGGAGAGAAGGAAACAATATAATGTCGACGATATTAAAAATGTGGGACGGTTCTGCGGGGGATCTAAACAGTTGACGGCTGTGAGAATTTGCGTGCCCAACGGGGGACACCATTAAAATTACGCCGCTCGGACATATACCACCTAGCGGGAAGGAGGCTTACCGAGCCTTATTATTAGCTGTAACGAACGACCTCGTCGAAGATTATGGCTATCGTTTCGCGAGAGATCGATCCAGATGAGTTCTACGAGCGAGGCCTCACGTCGGCGTATAAGAATGGGGAGGGTTGCCCAAAAAGAAAAAGCAGGGACGAAAAACCGGTCTTTCCGAGACGGGAAAGGATTTTTCTATCTTCTTTTTTTTACCCTTGCTCCTTGCCCCATCATAAACTTAGTCTACGCCCAGGGGTTCTTAACCCTCTCGCGACCTACTGCGTCTTTGGCAGAGATTTCTGATATATCGCATCTACATTGATAATTTTATCGGCCGTTACTTTTTTTTTTTTTTCACTTATACTTGATCCTCTTATTCTATTGTAATTAATACACCCTCAGAAAGGATTTCTGTTACCGAGAGAAAAAATATTCTCGACGCATTTATATTTCTCACAACCTCGTTTAGTATAAAAATAAGACAATATCGAAATAATATCAATAATTCTTATTCTCCTCTATCGAATTAAAAAAATATTGACTTACTAAGTTTATATGTATATTCTTGCGTTTAGAATAAATTTTCCCTCCATCAGACAGTCAACTTTATATTAAAACAAAACGAAGAGAAATTAAAACTGTCACTTTATAAATAATTGGGATTAGGTAACCTCGCGTTCAGATCGGAGGGAAAATTCGAAAGTCTTGGTCGAGCTGAAAACTTATCGTTGCAGTTGACGGTATGCTTGCACGCCGTTTAAAGGGTTGTTCATCTCATGTGAAGGATCTTAACGAGTTGAAACAACTTTAATTAAGCGCATTACGTTAGGCCGGCCCGTTGAACTTTGCTAACGTGTCTGGCCACGAGGAAGTAATGTATCCCATTTGCAATTTCTGTATCAAGTTGCTTATGCAGTGCAAACGCATGGAGGAAACGCATAAAAATGCACGGAGGGTGGAATAATACTAACATAGTAATGAAATTATTTATCCCCGCAAACCGATGTTACAAGTAAAGAGAAAAATCCCGGAGATGGCTTGAGACTTGCATTTCTACAGATGATTTTCACACCGTTGAATTAGTACGAGTTAAAAAATGCGGAAGTGGCGAAGGGAAAATCGATTTTAATCTTGACGAAAAATACATTCCTCTCGTTGATACCACTTGATCGCTGGTGGCGTTTTACGAAGAGCGGTACTTTCATGTACAAAATTTTCGTGGTTTACCCTTGCGGTTGAACGACTAAACGGCCAGCTCATGGCGCTATGCTGTCGTGCACCCACAATCTGCTTAAATTACACCTCCTCGGATTTCATCGGCGAGTAATTTAAAGCCGACGATTAAGACGTCGGGTTCCGTTGAATTTCTTAGCTCGAAGCTGAGATCTTTATGAGGAAGCACAAGTCTTATCATTATCTCCGGGGTCTGCGTGTATACCGAATATCGCGACATCGTCATTTCTCTCGCGAATGTTAACGGAGACGGCTGATAGGTCAACGCTGGAAATCTGGTGGGTCATCGGCTTATTGCGCAGCTCAATCTCGTCGTCTGAACGCGCGAACGAACGCTCTTGGAAATCGTGGTTGCGGATCGATACTCGCGCTGTCTCTCGTGCTCGGAATACCAGACTGGAGCATTTGATAAGATACCCGATGATAAATAACGCGCACACGTGCAGTGAAGCACGTTCAATCGATCGCGTTCAATTCGCTATAATTTTAAAGCGTTAACAGACGCGAAAGAGATGCCACAACTCTGGGAAGGGCGCTACTGCTAACGTAACTACATTATAAATTCTTCATGATGCTTCATTAAAATTAGTCAAGGCAACGAAAGTGCAGGTGTATCGTCCTTGCGACTTCGCTCTCGCGTGACTCCAATAGTAGACACCTGCCCACGTGCAGGTGAGCCAATGATAAAAATGTATGAAGGAACCCACGAAAGGGTTGGAAATGCTAGATTAATAATCCAAGATTAATCCACTGGTGATCCAGTCGTCTAATATTTATCGAGAGAAGATGCTTGAAATGATGAAGAAGGCAGGAGAGAATGATTGAGAGGTCCGCCGTAAAACATCGACGAGTCTCGGGTCATTTTCACCAAGATAAGCCTGCCAGATCGAAAATAAATGAGAGCAAATTCCTCGCGAGTTTGCAGCTATATACGGTCACCAGCTTCTGACAACACATCAACGTCTGCAAATACAGTTGGTACCAACGGCCTTGGGTAGCTCATTTCGCCCGTTTCTCGATCGTAATCTTTTCCGTCGCGTCAGTCTTTTTCGCGCGGATCGAAAATATTTTTTCATACCGCGCACGGCAATCGTAAACAGCGCAGCGCAAGATATTGCGCACCGAGAGGCGGAGGGATACGAAGGGAGCGAGACACGGCAGGCAAATGGCGAACGCAAATGTTTGCCCGCACGCGAGGCGATAGCACACAATGATAACGTAGTTTTGATAAAAACATGTAGTCACGCCTCTCGTGCAAATTACACCTAGGTATCTTAATGTTAGATTAGATTACAGCCAGTTGTAACTCTGGCGTAGAAAACGCGAGGATATTCCGCGCTCGCGGCGAACGCGGCTACGGGGATGATGTAAGTTAATTAATCGGGCCGTCGCCACCGACATACTTTTTTTGGTGGAGCTTGTCTCAATGGGTCAACGGTTTGCTCTCCATTAGCGACAGTTAGCGCGCCAGTATAAACGTTTGTCGATGACGTCAGTTGTGCCACACGCGGAATGATTTACAAAGATGCCCCGCCATCCGCGACGCCTACAGAGATACGAGCTTTATCTTTATCGTTCGTGAGACGGGTGGACCAACTTGATACTCGCTTCAAACATTCCTCTTATTATACCGTCGGGGAAAAATTTCGAGGAGATTGACAGTATGGTGTCGAATCGAGACAAGTTAAAAATACAGCAGTCGTTGTTATTTCCGATAAATGGAGCCAGCGAGCTTCTCTCGGCGAGAACGATTTCGTTTTGTAGAGAGCGGTTTCAGACGCGAGAGTCTTCTCGAGCGATTGATAAGCCCGTTACGAAATTCTGAATTGAATTGAAGGAGCAGTTTAAAGGGATTAGCCGGCCGTAGTTCACCCCCTTTCTCTCTGAGCTTTGAGCCCCGACGGATGCTGGTTTATTTACAGAAACCGTTTTAGCAGGAAGGAGCACGTTCGTGTCAGGTACCGACTGTAAGCGCTTCGCGTCCGGCCCTATCCGCTCCGTTCCGTTCTGCCGCATATAGAACATCCGTTGCGGCGACTCGCGTATGTGCGAACTTGGTGCGCGAGGCGACCCGACGTTCTCTTGCGATTTTGTCACGGTATGAAAGATTCAGTTTCACGAACAGCTCATTACGCTACGTTCCACGGCCGGCGCTCCGGGGAATTGTGCTTAGGTGAAGGAGAGAATGGACGAAAATATCGTCCCCCAGTGGGGTTCGGTTCGGTCACCCGAACCGCGCCAACGGGTGGGTGACCGCGCGCCTCTCTCGAGCGGTTTGACTGTAAACGGCCGTCGCCCGATAAGGATCGAACTGTGGAGTTTGTCATTGACGAAGACAAGCTTGCCTGTTAGCCTGTCAGCCGCTGTATCGATGTAGAGCCGTGGGTAATTGTCTGAATTCGAGGCAATTGAGTCCAAGCGTTGTACAATATCTAACGCGTACACATCTGCAGCGGTTAACGTATGAGAAGAAAGCGATCTGGAGCGGAGGAGCGAGGCATTTCCGAGCTAATTTAGGAAATATTGCAGCTCGATGTAGACAAACGGGGATACGCACGTAATATCGTGGCTGTCGCGTGACAATCGTTCGTGCGAACGTTTCACGAATCACCAGTTTCGTTCGTCTGGCGGCGACATCTGCCTGGCAACCGCATCTTCCTCTCCGTCTGCTTCTTCAGCTTCATTTTTTACCGCTCCTCTCGTACGCAGACCATTTGGACAGCTTTCCCTCGAGCTGCATTAACGCCGAGAGCTCACGGACGTACGAGATGTTTATCGGAAACGATGGAATAATAAGATAGAGGTGTAACACGAATTCATTATTTGCGCGCTCGCATTTTTACGCTACCCCGGATGGATAGTTCAATTAATTCTTGCCGACACAACAAGTGTTCATTGTGTCAATTCCTCCATTGTGTCCGCTACAAGTTGTTTTCTGTACAAACATGTCTATCTGTGCCAATCATTTCTTTTGAGAAAAATTCGTTTAAATTAATTGCCTTTCAATTCCCTCCTCGTTCTTTCCTCTAACAAATCGTACCTGCGATCACGAAGAGCAGCGCGCGTAGGTTCGTTTTTCACTTTCCACCCAAACAAAATTCCCACTTGTTTTTCAAACGGGATTACGTGGGCAGATGATAGAATCCGGCTTGCGTTGCACGCTTTATAATCGACATCGATTAACGCCGCGCCTCTCGGATTTAAATGATACGTATTAGGTCGATTAGAATATTGGGTAAAATCAAAGAGAAAGAAACACCGCGTCGCGATATCCTCAAGGCAGTATTTTACGCTGTTGAGCAGTCGAAGCGAAAGTACTGTAGAAACATAAGCCGAGAGAAAACGTAACGAGCATAATGGATTAAATCATATGTTTAGTTGGTCTTTATTCTCAAGGTCGCTCTACCGGCCTTACGAACCTTTTGAGAAACAGCGAAGCACGTTTGACGAAGTATAACTGGTTTTCCTAGCCGGTATCCGCTACGCTCGCTCCAACGATTATATTGTCGATTCGTTTTATTTGCGTCTCTCGGTCGCGCGTCGAGAAATTTTGACGAGAAATTTCCGCGTGGCGAAAACCGAAAAAGAGCCTCGCTTTGCACAACTGCGGGCCCGGGACGAGAAACGGCAACGAAGGGCGGAGAAATCGGCATGACGTAACGGCCCGTATAAAGGCAATAGAAATAAATGACGTTAAATTGTTGGGTTGGTTCGTTTTTAGCGAGTTCTACTGGTAGCGCGAGACGAAGACGAGATCAAGATGAAGTTTGCGTATTTATATAGCGTTCGCCGACGGCTGCTTTAAACCTAGAAATATAAACAGCTGTTTACAAAGTAAATTTCTTTCGCTTTATTTTACACGCGGTAAAATAAAATGCGGATACTTTCCGAACGTGTGTAACGTTTATTATAGTTTCCCAAGGCTGTAATGAAGTTTATTGTAATAAGACTGTAACAAGCCCGAGAGTTTCCGACCAAACTGTTCCTCGTAGAAAAATCTGCAGGAGGACAGATTCGCAGAGCAGCCGCGCGCTTCGCGAGTCTCCCGTTGTTGAAAACGTTGCTCGTGGTAAGGGACGTATGCATCGTAGCCCATAGGCAGCTGCTGCACAACGGACAATTCATGGGGTGCCACAATGGGCGAGAACGGTTCGTCAAATCGATCCGCGTTCAAGACCATTTGTAGAGCGAGTCCTCACGACGGACTCGCTAACGCGGTGAAATCCATTCTGGAGCAATATATTCCGTTAACGATTTTTCACTTGTCGGTGAGAAGGTATTTGCACGTCTCATAAAATCGGAGATCGATGATCGTACTACAAATCTGCGTGCTCTCGCCTATTCTACTAACATCCCAATCCTCTAGTCTGATTCACCCATTTTCTTACAGCGAGTTCGGCTTGCGCTAGTGCGCACTGAGTGCGCGCCAAGGCTTGTTTACAGTCAATTCTTATATTTAAGGATCGTCTTGAATACTTTTTGAAATACTTCTTAGTCAGTAAAATAATCTGTGTATAGCATTCGCACACTGATAAGAAAAATATCTTAACCCAAAAAAGTATTACTTTACTAAAGAAAATTATGTAAGTATTAGGTGGCTCCTAATAGCTTATTAACTTAAATTTACAAAATAATAAACAAATTAAACCATGCAGTTCTTTAATTTAAGCGTTTATTAAATATCAAAGCGTAGATAATTTTTAATTAAAAATATTTTATTTTAATTCTATAAAATGTTTACTAAGATGTCATTTTCACAGCGAAAAACAATTGTTTCATTTAATAAATAGTATTCCACATCTCACGAAATCTTTATTTGAATGTAGAAAATGTAATGATTTAAATTAATTTACTTAATACAATACACAGATTTACTTGAAATTATATATTTTTACGTAAATAGAATAAACATTCACTTTAGTAAAATAAACAATAATTTTAAGTAAATCTGTTTACTTAGTTTAAAAAGAATTTTTTGGCTAAATTTTTGGACATGTGCTTGAGATGGCCGTAAATATAAGAGTGGGGCTCTGAACAGGTCTCGGTGTGCACTCAGTGTGTACCGGTGCAAGCTGCCGAACTCGCTATTATAATTACAACCTAAGGAACGTTTTGCGGGACTAACCCAACGTAATTGAGATCCCCGACGAACGCAGGACTATTGCCCATATTCCCCGCATTCTCCATATCCCTCGTATCCTGCATATCGGCAAGGTCACAACCTCCACCGAGAATCGTGACTGGATTGCACAGAGCTCTTCAGGTCGTTGCCATCGTCACGCCGTCACGCCGCATTTACCGTCCTGCCAGTCTTATTTTTCGTTTATTTCATAGGTTCCACGTATACTTCGTTTTCTCGATATGCACGAAATGACAAAACAATAGGACGCTCGTTCAACTTTGAGAAACTACTTTGGAAAGAGGTAATTCAAAATTCTTTTGACGAGGATAAAAGAGTATTCCCCAACGGGATGATAATCCGGGAATGTTCTCCGCAGACAAAACCCCGGCTTAAGTTCCTTACGCTTCAATGTGCATTCCGAGCACAGGACGTAAGGCGGTATTCTATTTCACGCTATGTCCGGCTCAGCGTGTCAGTGCCGACCAGAATGTAAGCACTCGCGGACGGAATGCAAATACCTGCTGCAGTCATTTTACTTTTATCTAGCAAGAAGTACGCGCGAATCGGGAAGAATCGGCGAGAATTCATTCCGTCGAATCGATGGCAACTCCTGCGCCGAATAAGAAAAGTTTACGTCTATAACGATAGCGCCGACCAGACGAGCGCGTCCTTGGCCTATCCGACAATCAGAAATTTTTTATTCAAGACGTGATGTCATGTGCACGGGAAACGGAGCGTACATTGCATCGAGTTGACGGCGCGCGAGAAACTTTCTGTTTCCGTGCTGCATCGAGCGTGTACAGGAATTGCAAGCTTATAGTCTTTACACACCTCCGAGATATAGCCAGTCCTCGAGCCACAGCTCAGTTAAATTAAAACTCACGTGAAATTAGGCGAGGAGTAAGACCTTGCCGTTCACCCGCTCTGAATGTTTAACCCGCTAAAATTCGTACAGAACTGTACTTTCGCCCAAACTTCACGTTCATCCTAGGATATTATTTTGCTAGTTCCCGCACTTTTAACGCGCGATAGATCGAACCGTTTTTTTCCCCCCAAGTATCTACCACAATCTTATTTCCCATACGTTCAGATTTCTTTCTTTCGCCCTGATTTACGGGGCCCTTACGATCCCGATCGGGTTCCTATGGGGCCCAGCGCCACGGCGGAAAGGAATTTATCGTGGGACTCACCGAGACGCGACCTGGAAGGGTCCGGCCACAAATTCCAATCTCGCTAAATCGGCAAAGGCCCCTGCAGAGGTGGCACTCCGATTTTTTTAACGCGTCCACCAGGCGCCCGTGAGTGATGCCAGATAGACTCCGGACCGGCGCTCGCGAACACTCATATTTTCTCCGCGCAAATGGAGTGCACTCGCGAGAGCTCGGCTCGTCCCCTCGTTCGCTCCGTAAAAAGGAGTTTCCTTTTCTCTCTCTCTCTCTCTTTTTTTCCTGCTCGAGAAACCGACGTCGTCCCGACAGACGCGGCGCGTCGCGTCGCGTCGCGTTGCGTCGCGTCACGTGCCGACTTGCACTGTCGTGGCAACGAGTGCTCCGCCACTGTGTTCCATAGCAACATCACCGTGTGAAGGCGGGTCCGTCTGGCGATTGGTGTAAACGATCTTGGAAGGGAGAACGGAGGGGACTTTGTTCGGATGATAGCGTACGCGTCGCGCTTGGTTCGAAGCTCGGCGGGACAACGTGTACGCTTTGGGATCGTCATTTCCCCCCTGAGGAATTGAACACGACGGGATTACGAATATAAATAAGCTTTACTTCTAGCATCGTGTGCAAGTTGCATCTCCCCATTTACAAAAAGTGCACCTCGTTATTTTCTCCAACGTGAGGGACTCCAAAGACGGCGGTAAATGCGAACGGCCGATCGCCGGCGATGGGCACCAAATCGGAGAAATGTCCTCGACGTCGCTCGATGCAATCCTGTGCTCCAAAAATTCCATAGTCACGTGCTCAGCATTTGGCCAGCCGCCCTTAGGTGCCTCCGTTGAGCCTTTGAGGCGTTCCATCGCGACTGGAAGTAAAATTTTATCCGTTGATTTTATCTACCGAGGGTTAACACGTTTTACGCGACAGTGGCAGGACGGTCGATAGAACGATTATCTATCTGCGGGACGACGAGTGACTTCTGTGTGAGCGCGGATAATTAGTAGTGCTCCCAGATTCGAGCCCGGCCCTCATCCCGCATACTTGAAAGCGCTAAAATCAAAGGTGTTTCCGTAAGGGAGAAAAATCATTACCTATCTGTTTGAGTTGCCACATCATTTCCGGCGTGAAATGCGAGAATCGACAGCCCAAACCGAAAGCGCACTCTCCGCCGGTCATGAAGCGTTTACACGAGGTTTTGCGCTCCTCCTCCCTCAACACAGTCTCAGGGTCTAGAGATATTACCAACAGATTAGTCGGATCGCGATTGATTGTACGCAAAAGAGGTTATGTGCAGAAACAATTAGAACAGCTTGGTTTAATGCTTACCCTTGTACGCGGAGTAGTGACTCTCCCGATTTGCTACGTGCTGCATACTGGATAGATGTTTCTTACGGGCTTCGACGTCATCCTTAAAAAATCTGTCGCAATAATCGCAATAGTACGTCTTGCCCATAATGCGACTTGACGCGTATGATCAGCTTGCAGAAGGAAGACGAGTGTTTTAGCAATAGTTTTGTACTTTACGATAATTGAAAACAGTCGCACGCGGCAACATAGTACGTATTTGAATCTGAACTGTTCACGGAGACGCATACAACCGTAAAACGGTGTGCAGATACTAGAAGTTCTTACTAGAGAGACCCTCTGATCAGGGTCTGGCCATAAGGAAGCAGGCTGTGATGGTCCGCCATTTTTCGTCAATTCGCGCCAGTTTTAAAAAGCGGTAATTATTCAGTTCAGCCTCCTCGCCTCCGAAATCGAATGTAATTAGGCTCATTCAACGCGTTTTCGCTCAAAACGAAAAAATCTGACAGAAAAAAGTGGTGCTCTGCCCCGCGAAGCGAGATATTCGTTGTTAAAGTTGACTACTGTTAGGATCAACTTGTAAAAGTATTTTCAAATGTAAAGCATGTTTTGTTTTACTCACTGCAGAATTTGAAACTTGCTGACAAATTTACGATGTACGATTTAATTCGCGCGTAATCATATCTAATCAATAAATGAATTTTTTATCAATATAAAAAGAAATCCTTCATATTTAAGTTCTCGTAATCAATCTCATATGAATGAGATAGCACGATAGCACATATATCTTTCTCTCTCACAGGAATTAGAGGATCTCTAAAATCCGTATCAGACTACAGACTCCCGACTCTGACTCGACTACTGACTCGGACTCCCGACTATGATTCAACCAATCACAGTAAAGCACCGGCCGACCCTGACTGCCGACTCGGGAATAGACGCCACTCTAATTGGTTGAATCATAGTCGGGAGTCCGAGTCAGTAATCGAGTCAGAGTCGGGAGTCTGTAGTCTGATACGGGCTTAAGGGAAACCGAAACAGGTCCAAATCACGGAGTCCGAAATGTCCTCTCACGAATCTCGGGCTCAATCATGAATCTTTTCCTTTAATGTGAACTCGTGAAAAGCAGAAAATTCCATTGACGAATGCAATATTCATTAAATTTCATTTTCTTTGAAACTTGCTGACAAATTTACGATGTACGATTTAATTCGCGCGTAATCATATCTAATCAATAAATGAATTTCCTATCAATATAAAAAGAAATCCTTCATATTTAAGTTCTCGTAATCAATCTCATATGAAATGTGTACTTACGTTTCGTGGCATGATTGACCAAATCTCGTGACATGATTGATCCAACCTCGTGGGATAATTGAGACTTCGTGACACTTTGTATAACACTTCAGTATTAATCACACGCGACAGGAAAGGAAACACGAAAAATATACGATTGCACGAAGTTACTATAACATTTGCACTCAGTATTCCTTGTAAATTTCTCCGCCGGTATGAATTCTAATCAACAGAAATCGCCGATGTATCAATTTAAACTATCGGTGAGCAAATATTACAATATAATTAAGCAGTTAGATTAATGAATCCAGAAAGAATGATACGATATGCGGAGCGGCGCGGGCACAACCGACTCGTTCAACTATCGTCGCGTGAATGATCTTGCGTACGGCGCCGTAAACACCTCGGCCGAAAACCGAGCGCGGATTCCAAGAAATGACGTAGCGCCGTAAACACCTCGACAAAAACAATCTATTGTGACGAATTATTCGAGCGAGGCGGATATTCCGCGTGTCTTCCTTCGCGATTATTTCTTATATTTTCTGTTTTTATCTAGCAATGAGGGTGTTAACTATAATGTATTGGAGCTTTCCAATACGCATTAGGTGAGAAAGAAAAACGCAACTTCTTTCTACGTTCAATATATTGAAAATTTGGATTTCATTATTTTATATTTAAACTTTTACCTTAAAGCAAAATTATATTAGCTATTTTTAAGCGACACTTTTGAAAAAAATAAGAAGGTGCTGTGTCCATTCAATACAAAGATGCCTATCGAAGACTCTTCGAGTCTGCTCCGGGCAATTTTGAAAAATTCATTAAGATTTGCTATACATTTGAATTATATAACATTAAAAGTCGCTGGCAATTATATTTGTATGTAAAAAGAAAGATAATCGTTATTGAATATCGCAACGGAATCCTTGGTAAATCATTGTATTCGTTATCACGTCGTCGTGTTCGAATTATAATTGATTGAGTTTGCGGACGATGTCCTGATATTTCAATTTCAGTCCGTGCGCTTAGTAGGTATGTATTTTTAAACAAACGGATTACATGTAATGTACCGCCCTTTTTAACACGGTACGATCGTTTTATTATATTCTTACAATATATTTTACCACAACTTGTTCTTGTGCACCGCTAAACTATTCATACGTGGTAAAGTAACGTATCGACAAGAATGTCTATTATCCGTCGCAACGTTCCTCTCTATACATTAATTCGATACAATAAATATTCTTCATTCACAGTATTCACTCCGACGTAAACTAGACGACGTTACTCGATGATAGATCATTTTCGGCGATACCGAAGCTTCGCTTTAATTTTCTACAAGCGACAATCGTAGATAACCTATGAGTAATGCGTAATCGCGTAATCCAAGACAATATTTGTTTAAATTCGAGACTGGTGAACGGAACTCGTGGATGTAACTGCGAGGATGGACATTGGAAATATCCACGGGTGTTTTTATTTCTTCTGCGGGAAACTGGAAATTCGCGAATTGCGAATTCGAGATTTGATCTTAGAAGCTAAAAGTTAATGATATCGGATATAGGATACAGGAATCGGGCGGAATTGAAATAAAATATATTGGATATCGGGAATTCAGACATGCTGTTCGACTATATCTGTTTCATATATCTGCCTGCTACTGAACAATAGCTGCACGTACCATTGCAATCAATATCAATACCGATCGCGCAGGAATATCGCGTAGAATAGTGCATATTATATATTCGAGGAAATTTCAATATTACCGCGATACGTTTACTCGCATAACATGTACTTGTATAATGACTAAATTGTGAAATTTTGTTACAATAAATACGTGTAATTATTGCTCATAGTCAGCGTTTAAACGTGTAATACAGGAATGTCGCGTAATATTACTTTAATACGTAATTCCTCAGCATCTTCAGCAAAATTGGTATAAACATCGGTATAAATTACAAATGTAGAAGATAGAAATAATATTCGCTTTGTAGAAAAACACGTGGACGAACGTGAAAATAATAAATTCGCAGTACCCTGCTTTGTGGACGAATAAAGCTAGCATTGAAGAGTAAACAATTATTTCAGTAGTTTAGTTGCTGCTTCGCTGCTTCGTATTATGCACCTTGAATCGCTTACTGATCAATCGTTGCTATAATCACATACGAGTGAAGTGATCGATAGCATACACAAGTGAGTCTTTTTAGGCCTGGCAAAATAAATTCCCATCTCAAAGGTACATCGATACGTTAATTTATATGAAAAAATGGACTAGATCGCAACAAAGTTGGAGGTAGCTGTCGATATTCAGGAAAGATTTGCTGTATATTACATTAAAGAAGAGAAAACTTATAGAGCAGAGTTAGCTTTGGTATGAGAAGGTTTTGAGCAAGTAAGCTCCAAATTATTTATTACTAAAAAGACCGGACTCGTTATTTTGTGACGAGACTCTTTAGCCTTTTTTTTACGACTATAAGTTCTGTATATGACGCACGCTTTTAATTGATGCAGTAGAACCTCGATTAATGGCTACTTTATAATTACTTCATTATTGACAGTAGGCCGATAAATTGTGCAACTACATTAGTTCAAGTGCGCTCGGCAAAGTAACACGTGAAAAGCAAGGACCATTTACGTGAGATAAACAATATTGGAAAAATTTTAATAAGAAATTCTGCATAGATTATCATGTTTATAATATATTTCCAGTCAAGTAAATTTTTATCTTGAAGCTCAAATATGCCATATTCTGCGTTAAATAGAAGTTCTACTGCATTAATAACGTAAAATACAGTAATAATAAAATACAATATCTTTTATGTCCAAAGTTTGTAAAATTATTTGAAAGTTTGGAACTTCCTCTTTCTTAATTCTCTTTTTATATAATTAGTATTACGAGAGAGAGATAGAAGACGTTTCTAAATTTATAGTCCCTTTAAATACAATAAATTGAATAATACGACGATCGGGACTAACCAGTTTACCTTGCATTTATTGGTAGATCAATATATTTTTGTCCAAACTCTCAAAGGAGAAGCAATAGTACACATTTTTACACTTTCCACATTTTAAATGAAACAGATATACATTTAACCTTTTAGAAGGAAAGGGAAAGAGAAGAGTTTAAAACAAATTGTAGGAAAATGTAAAAAGTGCAGTCAAGAAATATACTTTTTAGTTATCACATTCCGTTTCAACAATAAATTATAGGAACAAAAGAATTGAATCATGCCTCAAAACATTTGTGTGTCGTAATAAAAGATATTCGAAAAACAGACTTTCATCGTTAATTTTAGAATTGGAAACGCTACAACCATACCGTTTATTTTACATAGATACAGGAACTTATAAAAGTTAACATGCATATTATTGATATTGATACATCTTAATGTATGCTCCGTTTATCATGCGCAGGACGTTAAAGTTATACTCTATCGCGTTTGTTCGCGTTCCACTTAACATACCTACCAGATACGAGGATTTTGCGTGTTTGTCATGTTCTGTTGTTGTAGATCACAATTTGTGTTGAGTATTATGTCAGGTAATTATATAGAGAACTATCTGTTCTTTCTTCGTCTCGTCATTTCTCATCTTTTTTTTAGTGTTTTGCATAGAAAGTATTATATAACCATGTTGAAAAGTCCTTTGAAAAGTCTTGAAAACTCTGCCCGTATGTCGCTCTGCACGTGCATGGCAGTAATAACTCATAAAAAATGTAAGTATAAGTCGATAGTACGAGGATAGTTCAAGAATGTGGTCAAGTAGCGAATTGTGTGAAATGTACTCAAAATCGATTATAGGAATCGGCTCGAGGAACAATCTCCTTTTTATTTGCCATCGCAGTCCTTCTTCATACAATGCAACTTTGTTTCGGAAAACTTTTTTCATATATCCACAAATAATAGAAATACTTGAATGTTCCCATTTGTATGCCTCAGCCTGCAGATACCTCGTTTGAAAGGTCCTCATTTTAGCCAAAGTAGAAAGCGCTTAAATCTCACTGGTCCCGGGCGAAGGCTGGATTAATTGTTAAACGTAAAATAAACGGTATCGTTGTTCACAACTAGCGGCCCGAAGTGAACTGATAGTCAAACTCGTTCGTCTTGTCTGGAATGCCTCGTATATTTACGCGCATAATTTACTAGTTTATGGATGCTACATTATAAGGTACAAGAAATAGGGGATGGCGTTCGAAACCTGTTAAGAATGGCACTGACTGTAATAAGTAATATTCTATCTCCCGGCATCCCTGCGTTTGAGTAAGCGTCTTATTTTTTAGGGTCGTCGGCAGTATGGATGTTGACCTCCTGACGGACCTTGTGACCGCGGAAACTCGCCTGTATCTTAGTCGCTGCCTTATGCAAGTCCGGATCGGCCAAGTCGATCCCCTCTAATTCGTTAACAGCGTCTTGCATCTGCAGCAGAATTTGACAAAGGAAAACGTAAGACGTGAAGCACTATATAGCCGTTCGTTAATTTAGGCCACCCTAAGTCTCTTCGTCCTTGGACACAGCTTCCCGAATTGGAGCCTTATTTCGCGAACGGAATGTCCCTCGCGTTTATCCAAGTTACCCTTCTTATCTTAAATGAGACTACACGGAATCCCGCTGTGCGTCAACTAGCCCGTACATAATTAATCGATACGAGACACGACAGTAACTTAAACATTATGTAGGCCATACCGGTCTACTGGTCTCGGGGCGAGCTTTAGTAGCGCTTCGGTACCCAGATGATCATCTTCAGCTTGGAAGGCAGCTGTCGATTATTCGCCGTCGGGCATTCGTGGATCAACGTAATGTCAAAGGGTCTAACAATAGCTCTCTCTCTCTCTCTCTCTCTCTCTCTCTCTCTCTC